CTCACACTTTTCGAGATCTCCTTTCTTTGGTATTTTGATCAGGCATCATTCTTTCCAATCTGATGGTACTTGTTCCTCATCCCAAATCTTCTTGAAGAGGATGTGAAATATTTTCGCAGTTGCTTCTACATCTGCTTTCATTGCCTCTGCTGGAATGTTGTTCGGTCCTGCTGCTTTGCCGCTCTTGATTTGTCTGATGTCCATACTGATCTCCTCAATAGTAGGTGCGCCAATATTTATTGGGAGGTCCGTGGATGCTACTCCGATGTTGGGTCTGTTCAGTGGAGCTGGTCGATTCAAGAGTTCCTTAAAGTGCTCTACCCACCTATTTCTCTTTTCTTCAGTGTTGTTGATTACTTTACCTTTCTTGCTTTTCACTGGTCGTTCTGGTTTACGATTGCTTCCGGCGAGCTTCTTTGTTGTTTCGTTACATTGTCTCAAGTTTCCTTATCTTGCAGCCTTTTCTGCCGTCATTACTAGATCTTCCACATATTTTCGTTTGTCAGCTCTGAGGCTCTTCTTCACTTCTCTGTTTGCTTCTGTGTATGCAGGTTGTGCGGCAACTTTCTCTGCTCTTGTTCGGCTGACATTGGTTGTTGCCTTCCTGTTCCTCCTTTCTTCAATTTTTGCAAGAGTATCAACGGAGATCCATTCCTTGTGATGGTGCTTCTTGTGACCCAGAAGACTTAGTAGCAGATTAATCTAAGGGGGAAACGTATATTTTTCTTGGTTTCTCGTTTCGATCCTGTAGCCACTCGTTCAAAAATAAGGGATAATTTTGATTCGTTAGGAGCTCAGGAGTTTGATTTTACACCATCAACCCAATACATTAACATGCTATGGAGTCGTTTGAATTGACCTGACATTGGAAAATCGTATCATAGCGCGGTTACTTGAGAAGTCGGTTTTCAAATCTCGGGGACACGCTTTTCTCCCAATATGTCTTTGGACATGGGGTTGTTTTCCGTTCTAGAGAAAAGTCTTTCCTTAGGTAAGGTTAAGCATATAATCAAATTTATTGTTGTTTGAAAATTTCAGAAAAGTCAGAGCTTGAAGCAGCTCAGCACTTTCTTGAGGAAGCAGCCAAAGTCGACCTTTTTGGTCTCCTCAAACAACTCAGTGATGTTTTGGTTAATGTTGAGTGTTCGCCTCCTGTACGTATGCAGGCTGGTATCCAGCTGAAAAACGCCTTGTACTCTAAAGACCCGGCATTGAAAACCCTTTATCAACAACGTTGGTTGCAGGCCCCTTTAGATTCTAGGCAGTACATTAAGAAAAACGTACGTTTTCACAAAATCTAATCCTTTTTTCCAGTGTCTCGCTGCCTTAGGAACAGAAATTACAACACATAGTTCTGCTGCACAATGTGTAGCTTATATCGCATGTGCAGAAATTCCTGCACTGCAATGGCCAGATTTGATGGAGCGATTAGTCGAAAATGTTATTACACCAAACAAAACTGAATCATGCAAGCGTTCAACATTAGAAGCAATAGGATACATATGTCAGGATATAGTAAGAGCAGTGTATTTGTATAGTTCCGACAGGATCCCTGTATTTTAGCAAGCCAGTCAAACGCTATTTTAACTGCTATAGTTTGCGGTATGAAAAAAGAAGAACCAAGGTATGTTAAATCCAGCCAGTCTCATGACTCTGGTTTCAGTGATAGCGTTCGTCTAGCTGCAACAAATGCTCTTCTGAATTCCTTGGAGTTTACAAAGCACAATTTCGATGTTGATGTAATTTAATGTTTGATTACTTCATTTTATATCTTAGAACGAGCGAAACTACATTATGCAAGTTGTTTGCGAATCAACTCAATCACCAAATCCTCAAATCCGTGTCGCAGCTCTTCAGTGCTTAGTAAAAATAATGTCTCTTTACTATAGTTATATGGAGCCGTATATGAAGCAAGCATTATTTGCTGTAAGTTATTTAGAGTATGTATAGTTCATCTGATAATCATGTCCCTTACTTTTTATTGATAGTTGTGGTTTAGTATAATAAGGATCCATCTGGTTACAGCAAACCACAATCCATATCAATTTCAAAAACATGAGGTTGGAAGTACTGTTCTGACTGCATATGCAACGAAATGAGCTTATGGTTACTCCTATTCATTCAAGAAGTCATCTCATTTTTTTCTTTAGGACGTACACTCTGAGCTCCAGCGTTTCATAATATGTAACTCAGCATTCTGTTTTGTTTATTTCTGATTCAAGCTCCTGACTGACCTGTGCGTCCACAGAACATCGACTTGTGGATTACAAAGTATTTATCATGAAGACCTAAAAAATTACAAACTGCGGTTGTGTGTGCTTTGTAGTTAGCATGGCTTGCGTCCACAAACCAGTTTATTAACGTCCTAATTCGTATGAATCCGTTAAATATTTGATTCATTTATACTACGTACGTAAAACCATCTTTAAAATACGTATACAGTAGTAAAAACTTCGGATATAGCTAAAGTCATTACACCCATCACTTAGTTCAGTCAACTAGGGCCTCATGTACTGTAAACGATGTCATGTAAGAGCTGGCCCAAACACAAGTGAATCAAAGCTCATTTTTGGCGACTTACTGGTTAAAGATCTAAAGTTATTAGATAAATTTTCTCTTCAGTAATTATAAAAACAAGAATTTAGGGTTAAACACATGTTTTAGAAAGTGGGTTAAATCATGTCGATGACCACGTTTTGATTAATATTTGAAAAGAATCAAACTGGGCTTAAAGAAAATCGCTGCTTAATAACCTATCACTTTCCACTAGTTTACTCTCTATGTACTTGACTAAGAGACTAACTATTGCTAAAGCGATGCAGTTAACATAACAAAAATAATTCCACTGGTATTTCTATCTTTTAAAAAGTAATATCTCTTGGTACGTCGGAAAATAATGTTCGTAATCACTGTATTCTAATAAAGTTAATATTTGCTATATCTGTATACAATGTCTACCGAAGTAATTATTTAAATTTAGGTGGCTTGACTCATCACTTAGACTTTCAGTTATCAGGCATTAAGCCACATCTTCAACATATCCAAAGCTAAAGAGTATCTTAGACTCAAACCTAAGCGCAGAAACTTGTCAAAGAAGGGTAGTTTATAGACTTGTCTTGTAACTAGTGATCAGTAAGCTAGAAGTTCATTATCTACTCTGGTTTATTCAGCTTAGTGTAGTTATTAACCATCACGCGAAATATTGCGCTAAATTTTTGCGGTAGCCCAAATGTTTTTGTAATTCCTTCAGTCAGTCAGATACAACTTAGAACTTCGTACTTATGTACATCAGCTGAAGTTTCCTTACCTCATTAGAACAGAGACGCAATTGTGGATTCAAATCCCATAGTGGTAGGTGTAGTGGAAGTATAAGCGTTAATGGAGAAGGTTAGGGTTCGAGGATATTATTTAAGACGTATAATCTAGTAAAGTAAACTTTGAAAATGTGCTGAAGAGTTCAGAAGATTAGTATTCGCGAAAAGGCAAAGAACAGGTGCACCACCTGAGCCATTGCAAACGATTTTGAGTCATGTCATTCAAAGTCTAACCATCGGTTATTATTATCTCACGGGCCTTAGTCAGATATTTACACTTACCAACATGGTTCAGTCCACCTGTCGTGTGTATGGAAAATAATGAAAGAAGGGAATACCAATGTTTTCTTTTTATAAAACTGCAATCCACATCGGAATTGGTGAGCATTTACTACAAATGACTGTGTTGCTGTCATCAGTACTATTTTTTTAAAAGTCAGTTGGCCTTCATTAACTTGGAGATTGACAAACAGACAGGGTATAAGGGTGGTTGTCACTTCCCGGCTGCTTTCACCGTGGAAGGTTGTTTCTTGAGGGATATGAAAAGGAAGGTAGATTAGTGTTGGTCTTAGAGACCTGGGTTGTTGAGTGAATTCTCCTTCAAACACATATATAAGTACATTGATGTTGAAAGATAAAGGTGTTGAGGAGGTCAGAAGATTAGTATTCGCGAAAAGGCAAAGAACTGGTGCACCACCTGAGCCATTGCAAACGATTTTGAGTCATGTCATTCAAAGTCTAACCATTGGTTATCAATATCTCACGGACCACAACCAGGTAGTCTAGTCGTAATTTCTAAATCGTCGTTGATACTTCCTTTAACTTAAGGGATTAGTTTAGAAGCAGAATGCAGGTATGACAACATTTCAGTTTCCATGTATATGTTTTGTTTTGTTAACGCAACATTCTCAATGAACTTCTAGCTTGGTTCTTTATTGTTCCCGTTTTGGATTAATCTGCTGTCATACATGACATTCATCCTATCAACTTTTTTTTTGAATGTTTCCAACATTGCTAGATCACATTAGGTGCTATGAAAGACTCTGTACCGGAAGTTGCTCTCCAAGGGATTGAATTCTGGTCTACAGTTTGTGATGAAGAAATCGACTTAGCTATTGATGTTACCGAATGCTTTGAGAAAGGACAACCTCCAGCGGTTTCCAGTATGTTTTATGCTAAAGGTGCCTTGCAGTTTATTGTACCAATTTTAATGGAAATACTTGCTCAACAAGATGAATCCATGGATGATGACGAATGGAATCCGAGTAAAGCTGCTGGTGTGTGTTTAATGCTTCTGGCACAATGTTGTGAAGATCCAATTGTCAATCTTGTCATACCATTTGTAAAAGATAATATTAAAAAACCTGACTGGCGTTACAGAGATGCTGCTGTCATGAGCTTTGGTAGTATTCTTGAAGGTCCAGATCCTGCAGCACTAAAGGTTCGTTTTTTTTAAATGTACTCTTTTAATTGAAGTTGATTTTATTGCGATTGTTTTTAAAGCGTTGTTTCCTAATGTAGCAACTGTTTGTTTTGCAACTTGATTATAACCGTTATCTAGTTTAATTTGGTTATAAGTCCGTTCATCAGTTCAAGTTGCCATACCATAGAGACGCAATCGTCGGTTGAAATCCCGTAGTGGTAGAAGTATTAATAGCAGTAATGGGGAAGAGGTTCGAGGAAATTAATCAAGAAATGTAATTCAGTGAGAAAACTTTAGAAAGAGAAGGATAGAGGTGACAAGAAATTGAGAAAATTTAGATTTAAGAGAAGACAAAGAATGGATGCACCTGCGTTATTGCAGACAGGTTTGAGCTATGTCGTTCAGTCTCTAACCATTGTTTACTATCGGATCAGGGAAGCTGCTCCCGAAATGGGAAGGACCGTACATTGTTATTGAGAGACGTGGCTCTGTTTACACGATACGCAAAGGAGACAACCAAAAACGCGTGAATGCCAGTCAACTGCAGAGGTGGTTTCAAGATTATCAAGCGCGTGAGTTACGGAAAGCACGAAGTCACGAAGACAGCGATACGGCGATCAGAAAGACTACGACGACAGCTTATTAAAAGGCGGGACGAGTGTGGCGCGAGCTACCTATAAGTAGTATGTGACGTGAGCGTCAACGTTATGTCTGGCAGCAGAAGATGGGGGAAGATCAAGAATACAATTCGGTTGCCCTCACCGGTGTTCTCCTTCACTATCTCACGGATGCAAACCAGGTAGTCGACACTTAATGAATGACTCAGTCTACTTGTCATTGATTTCATAGATTTCTGGCATGTTTTGGTTTGGCCGCTCTTAGCTTCCTTCCAACTTACTCCTACAACACAAAACATCGCTCTTCGGGGCAGTCTTGTGGTTGAGCATACGTAACACATGTCTCAACCATCTCAACTGATAAAGATTCACTAATTTATCAATTGATCTATTAGTGCCGGTTTCCTAACAGCAGCATTGCTTGCTCGATCGTCTCAGGATACACATGCAATGCTTCGAAGACATCGATGATCGAATACCAGTAACCTACGAATATCCTTTATTTTTACTAGCCATGTTTCACACCCATAAAGTAAGACGGAGCGAACTGTTGCGCAGTAGACTGGTCCTTATGATTAGTGGACGTATATCCTGCCTACGCCACAAGTGATTAGAACAAAGTTTTTTTGATAATATCATGATCAACCATCAGATCATTTGATTCTTAAGTGTCTCTTGATATTAACTGTTGTTAAACGTCTCAGGTTCCTACAAGGAAGTAGTTGTAAGCTAAAATCCTTTTGGTTTCTAAAGTTTTTTAGTATAATCAGCCTTTACGATGTGTACAGTTGAATAAACGTTCGCATGAAAAAAATGCGTTATATTTATTTTAATTTATTGATAATAACTTATCAGTGAATTTTAATCTTTTTTTTCTAGCCTCTAGTAGAGTCTGCTATGCCTGTGATAATTGAATTGTTACGTGACGAGTCACCAGCCGTCCGCGATACAGCTGCATGGACTATTGGACGCGTTTGTGAAACCCTTCCAGAAGTTGCTCTACACGAAGCATATTTAGTCCCTTTGTTAACTGGGTTAGTTGAAGGATTGTCTGCTGAACCAAGAGTTGCTGCCAATGTTTGTTGGGCATTTTCTAGTCTTGCTGAAAGTGCCTATGATGCCGCTTCAGGTAGAGAGAATTTTGTTTCGCTTTGGTCAAGCCTTTTTTTCTCATTTAACGTTATTCTTAATCCGTATTTTGTACACAAAATTATCAGTCATATGTTTATTTAAGGAGAAAATGGCAGTCACGTTATTTCTGAATTTAATAGCTGTCTCGTCGAGCTTTGTTTTGTAGTGTAGGAATAGGTTGGAAGAAAGTTAGGGGCAGCCAAACCAAAACATGGCAGAAATCCATGAAGTCATTGACGAGTGGACTTAGCCATGTCGGTAATTGTCGACTACCTGGTTGGAGTCCTCGAGATGATAATTATCGATGGTTAGAGATCCTGAATGACATGGCTCAAAATCGTTCGCAATGGCGCCGGTGCATTTATTCTCTGTGTTCTCCCAAATCCTAATCTTCTGGATTCTTCAACACCTAGTTTTGTCTTTCTGAACTTTTCTCATTTAATCATACTTCTTGAATAATATCTTCTAATCCTAACCTCTCCGATTACTTCTAATACCTCTACTACTATTGGATTTGAATTGACAATCGTATCTCTGTGCTGATGTGATATGGCGACATGAACTGATGTACTTACGTACGACGTTCTACGTTGCATCTGACTAACTGACTGAGCTAACTTGGAAATCAGTCACACAGTTTAGCACTTTAACCATAACCATGCAGTGCAGAACTTCATTGCAAAATGCAAAATGTTGGTTCAAGACTGGGTTGCTTCGGCACCTGAACTAGTGATACGGAGTGAAGTAGTCGAGCGTGTTGATCACTTCACTTATCTGGGGAGTCTCATTAGTGCTGACGGTCTGGTGACTGACGAAATCTCAGCTCGGATACAGAAAGCTCGATTGGCTTTTGCCAACCTGCGTCACTTATGGCGTAGGCGTGATATTCGTTCGCTAACCAAAGGGCGGGTGTACTGCGCAGCAGTTCGTTCCGTTCTCTTATATGGCTGTGAAACATGGCCGTTAAGAGTAGAAGATGTTCGTAGGTTACTAGTATTCGATCACAGATGTTTAAGAAGCATTGCTCGTATATCGTGGGACAGCCGAGTAAGCAATGCTGTCGTTAGGAAACGAATACTAGGTAAGGATGGCAGATCAATCGATGAAGTACTGAAACTTCATCAGTTGAGGTGGTTGAGACATGTCTTGCGTATGCCGAACCACCGACTGCCTCGACGAGCTATGTTTTGTGGTGTAGGAGTAGGTTGGAAGAAAGTTAGGGGCGGCCAGACCAAAACATGGCAGAAATCCATGAAGTCATTGACAAGTGAACTGAGTCATGTTGGTAGATGTAGACTACCTGGTTGGGGTCTGCGAGACGAAAGTCATCAATGGTTAGAGACCTTGAACGACATGGCTCAAAATCGCTTGCAATGGCGCAGGTGCATCCATTTTTTGTGTTCTCTCAAATCCTAATCTTCTGGATTCGTCAGCACATCTACCTTTGTCTTTCTAACCTTATCTCACTGAATTATATTTTTTGAATAATATCTTAAACCCTAGTCTTCTTTATTATAACATTAATACCTCTACTATCTTTATCACTATGGGGTTTGATTTGACATTTGCGTCTCTGTGCTAATAATGTGGTATGGCAACATGAACTTATGTACATACGTACGAAGTTTACGTTGCAACTGACTGACTGACTGAAATTTTACGAATAATAGAGAATCTTACCGCTAATTCCAAAAACAAAATTTTGTGCTAGTTGTCGTGTTTATTCTTGTATTTCAGTGTTTGAGGTATTGTAGGTTTTGTCAGAAATGCTTCTCACCTCCCCATCGGAAATTAGGAGACACTGCGTTCAGTACTCGAATATTCGTCTCAGCAATCATTTAGTGTGGTACCAGGCTCTACGTTGAATATAACTAACTTTAGTTAGTATTTCAAAAGCTGTCAGTCTTATAAAGTTTTAATGCTTATAATTAACCGTACAAATTGTAGATAAGTATGACCTTGTAGATCAGTTGTTGAATTGTTGATCGTCTTGCTAACTTATGGGAAATTATTGATCAATGGTGTGAACAGTCTATTTGGTTCAAATCATGCTTGCTCGATTCTACTTGGATGTTTCAGACGCAAGAGTTGACTTCAAATCTATTGCTGTTTTCGGTTTCCTAAATGCCTCTGTTTCTAGATTTTATTTACGAGTATATTTTTTGTCAATACCAAAATTCAATTTGTTGAAAATCTGGGTTTATCCTTTCAGAAAATTCCGGTCAGAATGGGGAACCAAGGACCTATGTACTATCTCAATACTTTAATGTGATTACAGAACGCCTACTAGCAACTTCTAGTCGACCCGATGGTGGACAGCATAATCTTCGTAATGCAGCCTATTCAGCCTTGATGGCCTTGATGCGATCTGCAGCTCAAGATTGTTACTGTGAAGTTCAACGTGTCACACTGATTGTGCTTGAACGATTAGAGTCAATTATAGGATTGGAGCATCAAATTGTTTCACATCAAGACAGAGCACAATTTAATGATCTACAATCTTTGTTATGTGGTACTTTACAGTCTGTTTTAAGAAAGATCAGTAAAGAGGATGCTCCTGCAATATCGGACAAGGTAAGTTTTCCTTCCTATTGGTTTTCTACACGTCTACATGTATAGTTTTTATTGAATCATATACACATATCTGACAGTGAAGTAACTGAATTGTATCCAGTTTTGCACAGGTTCCAAGGAGGAGTCAAACTAATTGTTGCAATGAAACTAAGCACTGTACATAGGAAATACGGTTCTCAAGGAAACATGGCAGAAATCCATGACGTCACTGACAAGTGGACTGATTCATCTTGGTAGATGTAGGCTACCTAGTTGGGGTCCGCGAGACGAAAGTCATCAATGGTTAGAGTCCTTGAATGACATGGCTCAAAATCGTTTGCAATGGCGCAAGTGCATCCATTCTTTGAGCTCTCTCAAATTCTAATTGTTGTAACGATTGCTTACGATAATTCCCGGCTAAATCTTATTGCTTAGTATTCTTGACACAAAACACTGGACAAGTAACACAAATCAAAACACGGTTGAACAGGAAGGATTGTATTCCAAAATAGCAAGGAAAAGAAGCTGGAGGTGATGGCGAAAGCCAAGGCAAAAAAGACTTGAAAGCGAAGAAGGCTTGAAGGCCTGAAGGCCAAGATAAATACAATGCTAGTCTATTTATAGCCTTTACATGAGAAAACTTCTGGAAGAAAATTCACGTGATCGACTGGACTGGATTTGACCAATCAGCATGCAGCTAATAATACGAGAATTTTCTATCCTGTTCTCCAAGCTTCGATCAGGCGCTGATTGGATAGGAAATTAGCCAATCAGCGCGTAGTGACGTAATCACGCTTTAAATCCATCTATGTCCCACTAACACTAATCTTCTGGATTCGTCATCACCTCTACCTTTGTCTTTCTAACCTTTTCTCACTAAATTATACTTCATGAATAACATATTCGAGTCCTAGTCTTCTTCATTACCAATAATACTTATTGACTTAGAATATGCCGATGACATAGTCCTACTTGGTGAAGATGCTGACAAAATGCAGCGTCTTCTGACTACCCTAAGCAACAATGCAAGCATGTTCGAATGCGGTTTTCCCCCTCGAAATGCAAAATGTTGCTTCAAGACTGGGTTGCATTGGCACCTGAACTAGTGATAGGGAGTGAAGTAGTCGAGCGAGTAGACCGCTTCACATATCTGGGGAGTCTCATCAGTGCCGATGGCTTGGTGACTGACGAAATCTCACTTCGGATACAGAAGGCTCGATTGGCTTTTGCCAACCTGAGTCACTTATGGCGTAGGCGTGATATCCGTTCTTTAATCAAAGGACGAGTGTACTGTGCAGCAGTTCGCTCCGTTCTCCTATATGGCTGCGAAACATGGCCGTTAAGAGTAGAAGATGTTCGTAGGTTACTAGTATTCGATCATAGGTGTCTTCAAAGCATTGCTCGTATACCGTGGGACAACTGAGTAAGCAATGCTGTCGTTAGGAAACGAATACTAGGTAAGGATGGCAGATCAATCGATGAAGTGGTGAAACTTCATCAGTTGAGGTGGTTGAGACATGTCTTGCGTATGCCGAACCACCGACTGCCTCGACGAGCTATGTTTTGTGGTGTAGGAGTAGGTTGGAAGAAAGTTAGGGGCGGCCGGACCAAAACATGGCAGAAATCCATGAAGTCATTGACAAGTGGACTAAGTCGTGTTGGTAGATGTATGCTACCTGGTTGGGGTCCGCGAGACGAAAGTCATCAATGGTTAGAGACCTTGAACGATATGGCTGAAAATCGTTTTCAATGGCGCAAGTACATCCATTTTTTGTGTTCTCTCAAATCCTAATCTTCTGGATTCTTCAACACCTCTAGTTTCGACTCTCTAAACTTTTCTCACTGAATCATACTTCTTAAATAATAATATCTTCTAATCCTAACCTCTCCGATTACTTCTAATTCCCTTACTACCTCTACTACTATTGGATTTGAATTGACAATTATATCTCTGTGCTGATGTGGTATGGCAACCTGAACTGATGTACTTACGTATGAAGTTCTACGTTGCATCTGACTGACTGATTACCAATAATACCTCTACTATCTCTATCACTATGGGATTTGATTTGACATTTGCGTCTCTGTGCTAATGTGGTATGGCAACATGAACTTATGTACATACGTACGAAGTTCTACGTTGTAACTGATGGTTCTCATAGTGGCAGCTGCATGAAAACGAATTAATGAAACGTCAAGGTGCTGATCTAAAAAATACATGAAACGGTAATCTTCTTACTTCCTGGTTACTTTTTTCTCAAACTAGCTCGTCAATCACATGACTAACTATGAATCACTTGTGTTTGTTAAATATATATATATATATACCGGTATTTAATTTTCGAAGCGTTTATAACTGTATTCTTTCATCTTGTTGAAACATTTTTCTATCAAGGTAATGTTGGCCCTCATGTCTATGTTTCGTACCACTACCACCACATCGGTTCCCGAGGCTTCCGGTGACCAATCGGCAATCAATGGTGAAACGGATAAAACAAAATTCAGTGATGGTGTACAAGAAGATGCATTACTTGCAGTGTCTGCACTTGTTGAAGCAGTTGGTGAATCGTTTGTCAAATATGTGAATGATTTTATGCCTATCTTGGTAGTTTGTTTACGTAATCATAGAGAAACACAAGTTTGTATGAATGCAGTTGGTTTGTTAGGCGATATGTGTCGAGTTTTAAACAAGAATCTACTTGCACACTGTGATGGTCTTATCACTATTCTAATGGAAATCTTGCAGGTACGTTATGATTTCTGTCAGTACAGAGGTAATATAATTCTTAATTTTAAAACAACTGGTTTTGTATCCATATATATGAAGAGTTTTTTTGCACAGGTTGATAAACTTAACAGAATGCGTTTATTGATGATAATCATAGTTACACCGAATCTTGATATCAGGTGGCGACTATCTACGCTATATTCCATGTATACTTTTGTCTGGACTCCTCTTCACCTTATGCGGTAAGATGATCATCTATTCTTGTCAAAATTCATATGCAGCCTCAGGTTCATCGTCTCTGTGATCAGGACGATTGTTAGAAAACCAAGGTTTCTTGCTAGTTGACACTAGTCGGTTAGGTCTGTCACTTTCGAAGGTCAGCAATTCTAACTGACATCAACCAGTATCATAGTTCAGTCGTTATTTACCTACTGAAGTTGCCATTGACCTTATGCAAAGCTAAAATGATTATTGAAAATTAACCAGTGTCATGTTGTCGAGTTGGAGGCTTCTTCGACACTACGGTGTGCCTGAGAAAATAGTTAACATCATACGGAATTCTTATGATGGATTCAACTGCGAAATCGTACACGATGGACAGCTAACAGACTCTTTCGAGGTGAAGACCGGTGTCAGGCAAGGTTGCTTACTCTCACTCTTTCTCCTGGTGGTCGACTGGATTATGAAGACGTAGACATCTGGAGGGAGGCATAGTATCAACTGGACAGTTAGGACGCAGCTGGACGATCTGGCTCTTCTATCGCACACGCAACGACAAATGCAAGAGAAGACGACCAGTGTAGCAGCAGCCTCTGCAGCAGTAGGTCTCAACATACATAAAGGAAAAAGCAAAATTCTCCGATGCAACACAACATGCACCAATCAAATCACTCTTGATGGAGATGCCTTGGAGGACATTAACACCTTTACATATCTGGGCAGCATCATCGACGAGAAAGGTGGATCCGATGCAGATGTGAGGGCACGGATTGGCAAAGCAAGGGCTGCATTTCTACAATTGAAATATATCTGGAACTACAAACAACTTTCAACCAAAATCAAAATCACGATTTTCAATACAAATGTGAAGACAGTTCTACTGTATGGAGTGGAAACATGGAGAACTACGAAAGCCATCATCCAGAAGATACAAGTGTTTATTAACAGCTGTCTACGCAAAGTACTTCGTATTCGTTGGCCAGACACCATCAGCAACATCGAATCTGTGGGAGAGAACAAACCAGATTCCTTCAGTGGAGGAGGAAATCAGGAAGAAGCGGTGGAGTTGGCGGATAGGACATACATTACGAAAAGCACCTAACTGCGTCACGAGACAAGCCCTCACATGGAACCCTGAAGGCAAAAGGAAAAGAGGAAGGCCAAGGAACACATAACGCCGAGAAATTGAGAAAGAAAGATATGACAGGAATGAACAAACATTGGACAGAACTGGAGAGGGAAGCCCAGGACAGAGTTGGTTGGAGAAAACTGGTTGGCGGCCTATGCTGCATTCGGGGTAACAGGCGTAAATAAGTAAGTAAGTATTGTTATCGAGTGTTAACTTCTGATCGACTAATATCAAAAAGAACTGGCACTCGACGTATGTTCAATGTTTTATAGACATGAAATAACACAGATTATTTGTTGAATAGTAAAATCGTAACTGAGTAGTATATCCAAGTTTTCGCCATGCTGAAAATCCATGATAGAACAGTTGCATATCATCCTCAATACTCATTTTGTGATGTAAGTTTTGAAGCTATGCTGCATATTACTTGGAACAAAAACTATGAAATTACGTTTTTGTTACTTTTTGTAAGTGTGTGTGCATGCAATTAAGTAGTATGAAAATTTCTGACACACAGTGTACTTTGAGTCTTAGAAAATGGTATTTTTATGTGTGTATTTGTTTTAAAGTAGTATCTATCATCATATTATTACACAGATTGTTCAAAACTCATGAAAAGCTAACTGAGGGAAGAACAGGTTGATTTTCGTTCTGGTTTTGGGATGCAATGATCACATCTTCACATTGCTGACCAAAAGTCGTCACTTCTTGGTGTATCATGACGGCCTTCAATTCGTTGAACAGGACTGTTCTCTGGGATTGACTTGTGAAAAACATTGTTTCTGTGAAGTTTATTGACATACTGAAGGCCTTCTATATGCAATCATTTCAGACAATATGATGGTATGCAACCATCTCTCTCTATTGTTTCATTCAAGCAGTAGGGTTGAGCATGGTTGCTCAATTTCACCGCTCCTCTTCATCGATGACATACTGAAAGTAGGTATTAATGGTGTGGATTTATTATCCTGAGATAAACTTCAATCCTGAGGATGCACGTGATATTGTCTTACTCTGTAATAATACTCACGCTACGCAAATCAATTGGCGATCGGTGTCCGTAGTTGTCATATGATTTGCTTCTTCTAAACGCAAACTACTTGTACAAGACTGTCAAGATCCTGTGCTCGCACTATTAGAAGTGGTCCAAAGGTTCGCGTTTCTAGGTGTTGGCATGAATGTTTATAGTTGGGCGATGTATAGTAAAAACTGGAGAGGTTTATACCAATCTTCGGCCATCTTTGGTGTTGTCTGGCTGTAAAAGAATTGGTCTTACTCTAGGCTTATGAAACCTGGTCTCCTCCAAGTTAAGGGTGTTAGGCAACATCTTGTTAATAAAATCTTGGCAGCGCGATCCAGTTAGTGTCACCATCTTGAAACACCGACTTTGGTGGTTTAAACAGGTACGACGAATCTCATCGTAGCAACTTCCAAGTCAGGTATTAATTATTGTTGACTCTGAGGCATGCTGTAAAGAGCGGTGGAGAAATGGTTTCTGTATGGCATAGTGCTATAGTATTATAAAAGAAAGTTGTATACGACTGTCATTCATGAGACAATACAACTCAGTGGTTTTAAAAAACAGTATCAGATATGGTTTAAAATGAAAAATCTTATAATTTTCTTCATAATAATAACATGTGAAATGAATTTTTAACTCTATTAATTCTAAATTGTCCTATTGTTTTTTTTATTTATTGCTAAATAAACTGGGTTTTTTTCTCTCTATTATACATGCTATTCTTGTTCGTCATTTTACTCATCGTTGTTTATTCATTCTCTGCAAAAAAAAATAAATGTGTACTCCTTTCTTCCATTCTAACAAAATTATCCCATACTGAATGGCAGATCAATAGATGAAGTAATGAAACTTTATCAGTTGAGGTAGTTGGGACGTGTGTTGCGTATGCCTAACCACCGACTGCCTCGACGAGCTATGTTTTGTGGTGTAGGAGTAGGTTGGAAGAAAGTTAGGGGCGGCCAGACCAAAACATGGCACAAATCCATGAATTCGTTGACGAGTGGACTTAGCCATGTCGATAATTGTCGACTACGTGGTTGGGGTGATAATAATCGATGGTTAGAGACCCTGAATGACATGGCTCAAAATCGTTCGCGATGGCGCCGGTGCATTTATTCTTTGTGTTCTCTCAAATCCTAATCTTCTGGATTCTTCAACCCCTCTAGTTTTGTCTTTCTAAACTTTTCTCACTGAATCATACTTCTTGAATAATATCTTCTAATCCTAACCTCTCTGATTACTTCTAATACCTTTACTACCTCTTCTACTATTGGATTTGAATTGACGATTACTTCTCTGTGCTGTTGTGATATGGCAACATGAACTGATGATGTACTTACGTACGAAGTTGTACGTTGTATCTGACTGACTGACTGTATGGCACATCTTTTTTTTTTTTAAATTGGCATGTAACCAAATTCTTTATATGCTTCATGTGATTGTGACTACAGTCAGCGGTTGTTGTGTTACTTGATAACCTCCCCTGTCAAACTTCTTTCACAGTTTTATAAGTGTTATGTTAATAAGTGTCGTATGATGAATTGATGTTTTTTTTGGAGTGGTTTCTAAGTGGCAAGCTAAAATTTTAATCGTCATTTCATTTACTCTGCCTTCTTATTACTGGCCTTATAACGCTTAAGTTTATTTAAATCATTTGATTCATATTATGTAGTGTTGTGCATTGAATTATTGAAGTCTGCATGTAATCATTATTACTATCATTACTATCATGTGTCAAATTTTCAAATAGTTCAATTTTGTCTATATTGTTTTTCAGTTTAACCATAGGTTAGATTATATAACTATTTCAAATCATTGATTGTCATAACAAATATGAAATAAGATGTGCTGTTTTTTTTTTCGTTTCAACAAACATAAAAAAAATAGCATAATACGATTGACTATCAGTGTAATTTATATTAATATTAATAGCACCGTTGATGACGTCGTGGTGTTATTCCTATTGTTTGATGTTATCCCTATTGGTGACTGACGAAATCTCAGCTGGGATACAGAAGGCTCGATTTGCTTTTGCCAACCTGCGTCACTTATGGCGTAGGCGAGATATCCGTTTGCTGACTAAAGGACGAGTGTACTGTGCAGTAGATCGCTGTCTTCCTTTATGGCTGTGAAACATGGCCAATGAGAGTAGAAGATACTCGTCGGTTATTGGTTTTGGATCATAGGTGTCTTCGAAGCATTGCTCGTATATCGTGGGACACCCGAGTAAGCAATTCTGTCGTCAGGAAACGAGTACTAGACAAGGATAGCAGATCAATAGATGAAGTAATGAAACTTCATTAGTTGAGGTGGTTGGGACATGTGTTGCGTATGCCTAACCACCGACTGCCTCGTCGAGCTTTGTTTTGTAGTGTAGGAGTAGGTTGGAAGAAAGTTAGGGGCGGCCAAACCAAAACATGGGAGAAATCCATGAAGTCATTGACAAGTGGACTGAGTCATGTCGGTAGTTGTCGACTACCTGGTTGGGGTCCGCGAGATGATAGTAACTGATGGTTGGAGACTTTGGATGATATGGCTCAGAATCGTTAGCAATGGTGCAGGTGCATGCATTCTTTGTGTTCTCTCAAATCCTGATCTTCTGGATTTTCAGCACCTTTAGTTTCGACTCTCTAAACTTTTCTCAATAAATCATACTTCTTGAATAGTATCTTCTAACCCTATCCTCTCCGATTACTTCTAATTCCCTTACTACCTCTTCTACTACTATTGGATTTGAATTGACAATTACATCTCTGTGCTGATGTGGTATGGCAACATGAACTGATGTAGTTACATACGAAGTTCTACGTTGCATCTGACTGACTGACTGATATTTGAATTGTCGAAAAGGGTTTTTTAATTTTTTTCTTTCTTTCTCATCTACTATTATGTACTACTTATTTGTCTAATCGTTTTAGTTTAACGTCTATCTTGTTTTCAATTTTGTTAAATTAACGTAATTTTAGTATTATTAGGACAATGATTGTTATATGATATGACATATTGGTTTTGTTTTGTATATTTTATTTGACCATAGGATATCAATGCGCATAAATCACTTCGTCCTGCTATCTTGTCTACATTTGGTGATTTGTCTTTGGCTTTGGGTTCAGAATTTTGGAAATATCTCCCTATTGTTTTGGAGACATTAAGTCAAGCCACTCAAGCTGAAGTTAATTTAGTAAGTTTTGTTGGAAAAAAATTTGTATAGTTGATTTTTATTGAATAGTATTTATGTGTGGCTTCAAAAATGCCCTGGTACAACCGAGAGTGGACAGATTCTGCTGACGTTTTCATGGCGAAACGGGGTTGTCCACCAAATTAAGAGATGACGGAAAGCGAATGTTCGTGCGTTTCGATTATCTGACTTCGTTGTATAGGAAAACCCTTATTCCAAACCCAGTACTAATGGTGCATATGGGCTCCACCATCTTGATGAAACAAATGACATATGATGAACCTACTGTCAGTCACTGACTAACATGAGACGGTATCTCACCTGTAGGTCAAAGACTTTGAAGTGTCTGTACTTTTAAGTCGAGCCTACATGGCTTATCTCAACCTTTACACAATTTAATCAGTCCATTCTTCTCGAGTTACTCACATGTCGTCCGACCTTGCCAACTATTCGCTTTTATCTTAGATGTTTTTATTTGAGCGTGTATGTGCTGCTTAGTTCGCTTATCACATGTCTGGTTTATTTTTCGGTGACTATAAATGCTTAGTCATACTGTAGTAAAGGAGAACACAGGTGAGGGCAACCCAATTGTATTTAACGAAAATGACAGAGTTACTCAGTAAAATAGGAAAACCATATCGTAAACGGTTAATTTGCAAATCTTCAATCCATTGTCTGACATTTCACCACTATTCATGCGTTTCATACAAATCCCATTGTGTTCCCACTCTTCCTTCCTTGATCTTACCCCATCTTCTGCTTGCAGATATTACGTTTACACTCGCGTCACATACTACTTATAAGTAGCGCGCACCACAATACCTTATTACATTGGGTTGGCTCACTCTGCTTCGCTTTGCTTTAACGCTTTGTATTCTCATGTCTGTCTATGCCATCGATTGCATGAAATAAATTCATACGATTGAATCCATGTTGGTCTGTTAATCACCATCGTCGCATAAACGTGGATCGGCTAAGTATGATATACAGAGATTGAGGTGAAGATTTATTTCATAACATACTTAAACGTCATAAACAAACAAGTCAGCTCATGGACCACTAAAATGGTGAGCCGTACTCAGAATCCAACGCAGTTCGAAAAAACTTTGGCGAGTGGCTCCATGAGAAATCATGTGCTTAGGTTTGAACACATGTAGATAGCTATTTAAGTGCCCCTTTGTACTAATAGTTATGTGTTATCTTTAGTCATCGCGTTATTGTGCTTTTCAAGCGTACATTACAATTAATTCACACAGATAGTTTCATGATTATCAGTCAGTCAGTCAGTTGCAACGTAGAACGTTCAGTTCTGGTTGCCATACCACACACTAGCAAAGAGACGCAAATGTCAAATCAAATCCCATAGTGATAAAGATAGTAGAGGTATTAATGGTAATGAAGAAGACTAGGGCTCGAATATGTTATTCATGAAGTATAGTTTAGTGAGAAAAGGTTAGAAAGACAAAGGTAGAGGTGCTGACGAATCTAGAAGACTAGGATCTGAGAGAGCACAACTAATGGATGCATCTGCGCCATTGGTGACTATCGTCTCGCGGACCCCAACCAGGTAGCCTACAACTACCAACATGACTCAGTCCACTTGTCAGTGACTTCATGGATTTGTGCCATGTTTTGGTCTGGCCACTCCTAGCTTACTTCCAACCAACTCCTACACCACAAAAACGTATCTCGACAGGGCAATGTGTGGTTAGGCATTCATTCCAAATGCGAACATCATTTCATCGACTTCCGTTTAGTTAACCGACTAGAATATTGTTAACACTTACACAATGTCGTAAAGCTAACTGACTATAAACAAAATATAATCACTCATAATTGAGTGATTATAAAGTTGGATTTTCGACATTTTCTAACTAATTATAAATGAATATTATGGTGAATACTATTATTATTGTTATTATTATTATTATTTTATTATGATAAACAATTTGTCTAAATTGTTAATTTATTTGAAATGATCAGATTTCATATTGGTAAATAAGAGAAAGAAAGTGCTTACTAACTTATTATTGTACTTTTTAATATTGATCTGTGTGTATGCATGCGTCATTATACAAAAGACTCAGTTAGCTTTTGCCAAATTTTGTCACTTATAAAGTAGGCAAGATATTCGTTTGTTAAACAAAGGACGAGTTTACTGCCCAGCAGTTCGCTCTATCCTACTTTGAGGTTGTGAAGCATGGCCACTAAGATTGGAGGATAGTCATAATAGGGTACTAGTATTCGATCATAGGTGTCTTCGAAGCATTGCCCGTGTATCCTGAGACAATCGAGTTAGCAATGCTGTTGTTAGAAAGCGAGTACTAGGTAAGGATGGCAGATCAATAGATGAAGTATTGAAACTTTATCATGTGAGATGATTTGGACATTTATAACGTATGCCTAACCACTGACTATCTCGATGAGCGATGATTTGTGATGTAGGGGTAGGTTTTAAGAAAGCTAGCGGCGGCCGAATCAAAATGTGGCATAAATTCATGAAGTCACTGGTTAGGGGTCCACGAGATGATAGTAACTGATGATCGGAGACTTTGGATGATATGGCTCAGAATCATTTGCAATGGTGCAGGTGCATGCATTCATTGTGTTCTCAGACTCTAATCTGAATTCCTCATCATCTCTACCTTTGTCTTCCTAACCTTATCTCACTGAATTATACTTCTTGAATAATATCTTCGAACCCTAATCTCTCTGATGATTGCTAATACTCCTACTACCTTTACTACTACTATGGGATTTAAATTGACGATTGCATTTCTATGTACTAATATAGTATGGCAACTTACGTACGTGCGTACGTGCAAACTTCTAAGTTGCATTTATTGAGCAGTTTTACATATCTACATCATATATGCTGTGTTGTATATTTGTTACTTTTTTCTCATAAATTGTATACAACTTGCCCTGATTATTTTTTTCAGGAAGATCCTGATATGGTAGAATATCTTAATTCATTGCGTACTAGTTGTTTAGAAGCATACACTGGTATTATTCAAGGTTTAAAAGGAGATGGACCACGTAAGTTTTTTTGTTTTCCCTATAGTGTTCATATTGAATTGTTTCCTCACCTCCCCCCAAAAAATACGAAGGGAAAATATTTTGTCCTAATGATGAAATGAAGGGGAATGTTAAATATGTGAAGTAGAAAAAAATATATTGTGTGTGTTTACTTCCTGTTTGCTTTGTAGAATCAACTGCTGCTTTAGAATTTGTTGCTGGTCATGTCTCGCATATATTATCATTTATTCAACATATTGGCTCAGATTCAATTACAACGGAAGATTTAATCTCGGCTTCATGTGGATTAATTGGGTGAGTTTAATTGTAAGTATTTTTCTGTTTGTGTGTGTGTGTGTATGTGTTGTACTGTGTTTGTATGATTGATTGCACTATGTACATGAGATTAGACTGCGAGTCCAATGAGAGTAGAAGATATTCGTCGGTTATTGGTTTTCGATCAAAGGTGTCTTCGAAGCATTGCTCGTATATCGTGGGACACCTGAGTGAGCAACGCTGTTATCAGGAATCGGGTGCTAGGTAAGAATGGCAGACCAATAGATGAAGTAATGAGGTGGTTGGGACATGTGTTACGTATGCCTAACCACCGACTGCCTCGTCGAGTTTTGTTTTGTAGTGTAGGAATAGGTTGGAAGAAAGTTAGGGGTGGCCAGACCAAAATATGGCATGAAATCATTGACGAGTGTACTTAGCCATGTCGGTAGTTATCGACTACCTGGTTTGGGTCAGCGAGATGATAATAATCGATGGTTAGAGACGTTGAATGACATGGCTGAAAACCGTTTGCAATGGCGCCGGTGCATTTCTTCTTTGCGTTCTCCCAAATCCTAATCTTCTCAGTCAGTCAGTCAGTTGCAACGTACGTAAGTACATCAGTTCATGTTGCCACACCACATTAACACAGAGACGCAAATGTCAAATCAAATCCAATAGTGATAGAGATAGTAGAGGTATTAATGGTAATGAAGAAGACTAGAGGGTTCGAAGATATTATTCAAGAAGTATAATTCAGTGCGATAAGGTTAGAAAGACAAAGGTAGAAGTGCTGACAAATCCAGAAGATTAGAATTAGGGAGAATACAAAGAGTGGATGCACTTGCGCCATTGCAAACGATTTTGAGCCATGTCGTTCAAGGTCTCTAACCATTGGTGACTTTCGTCTCATGGACCCCAACCAGGTAGTCTACATCTACCAACATGACTCAGTCCACTTGTTAGTGACTTCATGGATTTCTGCCATGTTTTGGTCTGGCTGCCATTCTATGTACCTAAATTAATGTTTGTGTGGTTGTTAGAAGAGGTATCGACCTTGTGACTTTGGAAGAAACTTGGCTATCATTATGCGGCGTTATAACTCTTCTAACCCTCGAGACAGAGTTTAAATGATTCGAATTGTTTTTTCTGTGTAGCGTTTTTTCAGCGAGTTAGTTTAGTATAGAATGGGGTCGCTATCCTTTTGCCTAACCCTCCTTCTTTATCCGGACTTGCGATCGGCAGTAGAGCTAAGGGGCTTCAGGTTGGAGTGCATAAATATATGAGTTACTCATTCTTTTTTGACTATTCACTAAGTGACATTCCGTTAGACTGACATATTTGAATTTGTATCTCATTATTGTGGACGTAATTAGTTAGTAGCTTATTTAAAAAATAAGTAGAAATATTAAAGAAACAACCTTATTAATAGAAGAATTTTTCCAGTTGAAATAGCGAACTGATCTAAGCTAGACAACACCACTGTTAGAAATCTGGGAGCAGCGAACGGCCATTTCTACCTAGTATTGGATTTAACGGCAATACGTGTCCACAACCCATGCGCGCATAGGAATTGAACCTAAGATTTTTGGTCTCACTTATGAACGCTTAACCTTAAGACCACTGAGCTGGCATCCAACGGTTTTAGTGTCTAACTCAAACCAATCCATGATGTTGCACAACCTTCATCTATTTTCTGTGGCGGATAAGTGTCTCCTACCCGATACATATTAAACTCCACTGGTCACGACTTCTCACTGGAACTCAGGGAATATCTCGTAAAGCGAGTCTTTTTTGAGCATATGATTGTTATTTAAGTACATAAGTATTAGTACAAAGGGGCACTTCAATATCCATGCGCCACAAGAAATTTATGTGTGCCTGAGTGTCAAAACTGAAGTAGGTGGTTTCTTAAAGAGCCACCTTCTGAGATCTTTGACCAAAAATCAGTTCCTACTCCATTCGTTCCATCAAGAGGCTGGAGCCTATATGCACCATTGGTTATTGGTTTGGAATAAGAGTTTTCCAGCTCCCTCAGGTGAATCGTTTCTGCGTACCAACCCGACTCTAGTGCCAGACATTCGCTTTTATCTTCTTGATTTCACAGACAACCCCATCTCTACCAGTAGAAGTTATTGAGTGGGACTTTTCTGTCAGTTGCCATATACACATGGCCATTTAAGAAGAAGAGCTGACTTTCACCACTTGGTCATGCCATGACATTTTAAAGCCACAGATAAATACTGTTCAATAATAATCAAGTACGCTTATAAAGTATGAAAGACCAAATCATATCGAAAGTGATCCTAGTATCTTACAGGTAGTTCAACTCTGCTTGTAATGAGCTTGTTTGCGTAACTATTCTCTCAAAATGTATTATTTGTACAAGTGTCAATTCAAGACAACATTTTGAAAATAAGATTATGTATATGAGCAAAATGTTGACATACCTTGTGTGACGTAAAATCTAATTTGGTTAAATAATTTCACCAATAATCTGGTGACAATCATATGTTCACAAAGTAATCACAGAACTTGAAAGTTGGTTAGATCAGTTTTTTATCTGCAGAAAGCATTCAGAACAATCAGTATCTCAATACTCCAGACAGACAGATACAACGTAGAACTTCGTACGTACGTACATCAGTTCAGGTTGTCATACCACACATCAGCACAGAGACGTAATTGTCAGTTCAAATCCAAGCGATAGTGATAGTGATAGTAGAAGCTATTAGCAGTAATGGAGAAGATTAGGAAGCGAAGATATGATTCAAAAAAGTATAATTCAGTTAAGATAAATTTAGAAAAAGAAGAAAGATAGAGATGATGAGGAATGCAAAAGCTTAGAATTTCATAGAACACAAAGAGTGAATGCACCTGCGCCATCCACTCTCCGAATGTTGTAGGTGGTTGGGACATGTGTTGCGTATGCCCAACCACCGACTGCCTCGTCGAGCTTTGTTTTGTAGTGTAGGAATAGGTTCGAAGAAAGCTAGGGGCGGCCAGACCAAAACATGGCAGAAATCTATGAAGTCATTGACGAGTGGACTAAGTTATGTCGGTAGTTGTCGACTACACCTGGTTGGGGTCCGCGAGATGATAATAATCGATGGTTAGAAACCTTGAATGACATGGCTCAAAATCGTTTGCGATGGCGCCAGTGCATTTATTCTTTGTGTTCTCTCTTAAATCCTAATCTTCTGGATTCTTCAACAACTGTAGTTTTGACTTTCTAAACTTATCTCACTGAATCATACTTCTTGAATAATAATCTTCTAATCCTAACCTCTCCGACTACTTCTAATACCTTTACTACCTCTTCTACTATTGGATTTGAATCAACAATTATATCTCTGTGTTGATGTGGTATGGCAACATGAACTTATGTACAAAGTTCTACGTTGCATCTGACTGACTGCGAATGTTTGTACATTTAGTAAAATATCTAATCTTGTTATTATTATTTCTCTTTGTTATTACTAAATAGTGATCTTGTCTCCGCTTATGGTGTTAGTATTTTATCACTTGTGGAAGTTGACGGAATTGCTTCGGTTTTACAAAAAGGCAGACGTGCTAAAGCATCACGTACTAAAAATTTAGCAGTTTGGGCTACAAAAGAAATTCGTAAATTAAAAAATACCGCCAATAATTCATCAACATCCGCTAATACAACTACTGTGTCCAATTCCAATTTGTCACATACAACAGCTACAACTGTTCAAGCTTCACCATCAGGATAAATATGTAAATATTTTGTTAGTTTGTGTATTGGGAATTTTTTAGTTTCTTCTTTTTTTTTCTGAAGCCTTGTTACATAACTTTTGTGTTTTGCTTCATCTCATCAGCATTTTTATTCTATATTATTTTGGTTTGGTTGTAAGGTAGGTGGTCACTATGCCTATCCGTAATCTGTTCTGCCCATCGATCCAATCTCCTGCATTGAGAATGAATAATAAGACTATCTATCCTCTTCTAAGATGGATTTCTAATACCAGTTTCCTTGATAAGTCGGAATAACTATCTGCTGTTGCCTATCACTGCTGCCTTTACCATCGTTCCTGCTTTCGATACGCACCACTGCTCGTGATCATTCATTGCGCAGGCTTTTCATCAGCCTGCGCTTAAGCTGACTTCGCTCTTCGTCATGTTCAGTCAGAGCCAGGCGGGATGAGCTTTCGGGCATCTATCAGTTCTACTGAAATTCACGACTTCTCATTACCCGTTTGGTTCACCTTACTAGCAGATATCAATGCTGTTTCCACAACCTTATCGATATAATTCCAAGCTACCTCCGAATTGGAATCACTAACATAGCCGCTTAACTGTTTTCCTAGTTGTTCCTGAAATACATTCTTAGCCTCATTATCATTAGGTAGAACCCTAAGAGGTTTCCTTGTGGTGTCTTTCCTACGTCCAGTAAGCCTCAAACAAATACGCGATCGCACTAGGGCATGAGCTGAATCTAAACATGTGCCCCAGAACGAGCGACTGTCCTCTATCGAACCCCTCCACGGTGGATGATGACGATCTAAGCACGTTGTGTTTAGCCTGGTCAAGAAATGTTTTACCCTTGCGCCTAAAGTTAGTGTTTGCTAGAAATAGGCGGTTATCTGAGTATAGTTGCAACACATGGTCGCGACACCTTAAGATCCGCCAAGGTGTCTTTCCTTTTCACTCAGTCTACCTACGTCACCAGCCATTATTACTATATCGGAGTGCCTAACTTTTTGGAGGAGGTCCGGAAGCTTTCTGTAGAACTCATCTTTCATCTCGTCTGAACTGCAATCAGTGGGGGCGTAGGCTGATATGACGAAGAGGCAGCGGGGAGTATCCCTATTTTTCCGAGTCCTTACTGTCCTGTTTAGTCGGACGGCGCACAAGCGACTATCTGCTGGGCTTCAATCTAGGAGAGCTAGTTCTGCCCTAGGACTCAATGCTATACCTACACCAGCGAGACTCCGAGAAGCAGCATCAGGGCTACCGGGATGCTTCTTTATTTTGACAGGGTAAAATCAAATTAATGGTGCTACTCGGATCCTGTATGCGCGTTTCCAAGACGCAGCATATATCGATTGAGCAAGATTCTAATGTCCAAGTTAAGAAAGCCTGTTGCCCTATTTGACACAATGTCCTTACATTAAATGCTCCAACATGCAATTTAGAACGGGGTTTCGGGATACCAGTAATAACGTTTCGTGAACCCGCATCGTTTGCATTTGTGGTGCAGTGTGATAAAGGAATGTGAAAGTTATTCGTGGAGATATTAGGGGATGTAGGATCGGTTTGGTTGTGACCATTTTGGTCTCGCGTGCTTATACGGGTATGACGGCTGTTGTCACTTCTCGGCTGCCAACACGGTGGAAGATTGTTTCCTGAGAAACCTGAAAAGGAAAATAGATTAGCGTTGGCCTTAGAGAACTGTGTGATGGCGGTGCTCAAGGGACAACTGCTTGATGCTGGTCAGGCATGGCATTTTTATGAGAAGTGTTAGCTCCGCTCTTCAAGTGAACCTACCGCTGGAGACGGAAATCCGTGAGTTCGGGTGAGTTGTGACAGTTTTAGGGTCGACCATTTGTAACCCTTCCTTCCTTGTGAGAAGGCAGCGGCATCGCTGCAGATGCTGGTTGTCTGATTGGAACACCTTACCGCTGTCTCACCCGTCTACAGTCAGAAGTACTACTTCACCCCCAGACCAGAAGTTTCTGCTTTTAGTTTCAATGTTCTTCAGTCGGCCTGCTTGGCATGGTAGGACCCAAACGGAACATTGCTTGGTTAAGTCATTATGATAGGTTAGTTTTAATTTGTGGTCAACAACTGCGAAATCTTATAGGTATATATACTACTTATCCAATATCTGACTTGTGATTGTTCTTTTTTTTTTCATTTTCCAAAAAAAATTTTCAGATTCTGACGCTTCAGATTACTTTTCCATTTCTAACAAGAGATAAAGAGAGAACACACCTTCCTTAATATAAATAAATTTGTACATTCTTCCAATATGAAAATCCACTATCTTTCGAATTCTCCTTTTCTCTTATTGTTATATGCTTCTTCCAGTCACTCACTCACTCGCACACACACACACACAACACACATACGCAAAGAGTCTCCCCCCTCTAGTTCGGTCTTTTATAATTATCATTAACAAAAAAATATATCTATATAAATATATGATAATAATAATAATAATAACTAAAGTTGGATTTTGTTTTTTTTTTATTGTCTAAGAAGAAAAAAAAAGTAGTTTGAAGCATTTTGTTGTGTGTGTGTATGTGTGCTAATGAATAAATCGGTGGTAATAGTTGTTAGTATGTACATACCACATTAACACACACAGAGACGCAAATGACAACTCAAATCCTATATAGTGGTCGGGATAGTAGATGTCAGTCAGTCAGATGCAACGTAGAACTTCGTACGTATGTACAAAAGTTCAGGCTGCCATACCACATCAGCACGGAGAGATATAATTGTCAATTCAAATCCAATAGTAGAAGAGGTAGTAAAAGTATTAGAAGTAATCGGAGAGGTCAGGATTAGAACATATTATTCAAGAAGTATGATTGAGTGAGGAAAGTTTTGAAAGACAAAACTAGAGGGGTTGAAGAATTCAGAAGCTTCGGATTTGAGAGAACACAAAGAATAAATGCACCGGCGCCATTGTGAACGGTTTTGAGCCATGTCATTCAGGGTATCTAATCATCCACTATTATCATCTCGCGGACCCCAACCACGTAGTTGACATCTACCGACATGGCTCAGTCCACTCGTCAATGACTTCATGGATTTCTGCCATGTTTTGGTCTGGCCGCCCCTAACTTTCTTTCAACCTACTCCTACACTACAAAACAAAGTTCGCCGAGGCAGTCGGTGGTTCGGCATACGCAAGACGTGTCCCAACCACCTCAACTGATGAAGTTTCAATGCTTCATCTACTGATTTGCTATCCTTGCCTAGAACTCGTTTCCTAATAACAGGTGTCCCAGGATATACGAGTAATGCTTCGAAGACACCTATGATCAAAAACCAGTAACCTACGAATATGTTCTACTCTCACTGTCCATGTTTCACAGCCATAAAATAAGACTGAGCGAACTACTGCGCAGTACACTCGTCCTGGATAGTTGAAGTGTATTAGCGGTAATGGAGAAGATTAGGGTTCGAAGATATTTATTATTCAAGAAGTATAATTCAGTGAAATAAACTTGTGCCATTGCAAAACATTTTGAGATATGTCATTCAAAGAAGTCTCTAATCATTTGCTACTAATATCTATCTCTTTGGCCCCAACCTGGTGGTCTACGCTTACCGACATGGTTCGGTCTAGCCAACCTTAGCTTTCTTCCAACCTACTGCTACACTACAAGGTGTCGCCCGTCTAGGCGGTCGGGCATACGTAACACATGTCCCAACAATCTCGATGGATTAAAATTCACCACTTCATCAACTGATTTGCCATCCTTACCTAGTACCCTTTTCTTAACAACAGCATAGCTTACTCGATTTTCCTAGGATATACGATCAACGCTTCGAAGACATCTGTAATCCAATAATAATGGCCTACGAATATTCATTATTCGAATTGGTCATCTTTCACACCTGTATATTAGGACGGAGCGAACACAACAGGCTATCAGGATTGATGATACTCCCGAAATAACTGAGGAAGTCAACACGCTCAACTGTTTCAGTCATTACTAGTTCAGGTGTCGACGAAAGCCAATCTTGAATCGACATTTCAGCAAGGGAGAAACACATCCCGAACATGCTTGCGTTTTTGCTTAGGATGTTCGAAAGACATTGAATTTCTTCAACGTCTTCTCATTAAGTGCCATCAGCTTTCATAGTTCTTCAAGTAAGTTTCTGCCTTATGCAGTAGAACTGTTGCCGTTGTTCTGCCGATCCAATGGCTTCACATCTGTGTCTGTATTCAGATTCGCTGTACTCATCATCAATCATCTTACTGGATTTTTTTCACATCTTCCAAAGTTTCACCATCAAGTTTGATGATAATCCAATCTCAATGTAGTAACATAATTTATATTTAAACAATAATAAATACAAAAGACACACACAGAGAGAGAGATGAGTTCTTTTTTCATTTATACAAATAATAAAGTTACATAGAATAAATATTATTATTCATAATAATAATAATAATATTCATTATTGTAATCATTAAGATGATTATTTTCTTGATTTTACACGATCACGTTGACGTGTATTATTTTTACGTGAATTATTCAATCCATAGGTTGTGGAATTATTATTATTATTCAATAATGATTGACTTGAATGCAATTTAATAGATGATGAATCATGTTGTTGATGATGAGAATGATGATGATGATGATGATGATTAGCGCTGGAGATGGATTTACTCACTGATGATTTACGACTACTAATCAATGGATGAACCTTGAACACACACACACAAAAATAAACGGAGAGATACAATGATTGTATTGATTAAGTCAGTTGTAATGTGTGTAGAACTTGATATGTTGTATGTACTATGTACTTCAGTTCTAATTGTACTGTTACGAGTATGAGGGTAGATGTCCAATTAGCGTTGGTCTTAGGGACTCAGGAGCGTGATTCAAGAGATAACTACTGCTTGAGGCTAGTCACGCACGGTATTTTTAAGAGAAATTTTCAGTGTTAGCTTCGTTCTTGTCTAAAAGGCCTTAGCGCCGGAGACGGAGATTCGTGAGGTGTGACATTTTTAGGGTCGATCTTTCCTTGTTTCTGGGACGTCAGCAACACTGTAGATGCTGGTTGTCCGACGGAAGCACCTAAATGCTGTCGCCCCCTCAGACCTTGTGTAGCTGCTTTTAGTCTCATCATTCTCCGGTCGACCTGTCTGGCGTAGTAGAACCTAAAGGGATATATGTCCCAGCCAATATAGCTCGGTTGGGTCATCACGATAGGCGAGACCGACCACCACATCGAGGTAGCACTTAAGGTCATACCCTGAATTAGGAAAGGTGTCATTGTTAAGACAAATTTCAGATTTGTAGAAGTGATAGAAAGAAAGGCTAGATAAATTGCAAAATGACAACTGTAACTGTCAGTATAACGGTTGTGGAGATTGTTAAGTTTCATTGAAATTAATTTTAGACGACTATTGAAAACGCGGGAACAGTGGACGGCTGTCTCATTTTAGGATGCGACCTTAGCCCTTCCATGATTCCAATGTAACAACCCTATACTGACAGTTATCACGTGACTTGACTAGCTTGAGTTCTAGTGAGAAGTAGTAAACAATGGAGTACAACCGTGTCGAGTTTTCTGCGGCAGTTACGCACAATGAGCGATGATCGTGGATTGTTTAAAGTTAAACTTTAGCACCATTTGCCCGCTGTTTAGAAAAGGTTCAACGATCGTAAGCGAAACTGAAAGACTTTTGCTGATTCCTACTTTGCAGGGGACGTGGATATGCAACTGTAGAGTTGAGTTGTAGTAAGTACACTAGCACAAAATAACCATCCAAGTGCTTTCAGTCAGTCAGATACAGCAACGTAGAACTTCGTACGTAAGTACATCAGTTCATGTTGCCATTAGCCACATCAGCACAGTGATATAATTGTCAATTCAAATCCAACAGCAGTAGTAGAGGTAGTAAAGGTATTAGAAGTAGTAATCGGAGAGGGTTGGGATTAGAAGATATATTATTCAAGAAGTATGATTCAGTGAGATAAGTTTTGAAAGACAAAACTAGAGGTGTTGAAGAATCCAGAAGATTAGGATTTGAGAGAGAATACAAAGAATAAATGCACCGGCGCCACTGCAAACGATTTTGAGCCATATCATTCAGGGTCTCTAACCATCGTACAAATGCTTTCATGTTTTGCAATGATAATCAAACATTAATCAGTAAAACACAACAGTAGTAGGATTATAGATAGATGAAAAGGTTATATAATCTCGTATACAGTTATAAGATCCATATGATAAAGAAAGCATCATAAGTTATATAATTTTGTAAAAATTTAATATAATTCAATAGGAGAAATCAATTGTGTAATACGCTACAGATATATATATATATATATATATATATATATCTTTATCTTTTTAATATCTACTTAATCTCGATTTAATTCATAGTATTGTCAATCGATTTGACTCCTTTTTTTTTCGTTCTTTTTAAGTATATCTATCTATCTATCTGTTTATGATTTGATATTTTCAACTAACTAACTAATTTTATAGAATAACAGTTGAGCAACTAGATTATCAAGCTCTAACATTATTAATCTATTTATTGATGAACTTTTCATTGACCTAGAAAATTATTATCCACATAACAATTTACTTATTTCTATATTTTATATATATAGTTGTATAATTATGATTGGGTTGTGTAGATTGTTGGAGTTATTTTAATTGATATCATGAATTGATCAATGTGTAAGATCGAAATTAGGAATCTGGAAGGTTGTTTCGTTCTGGTATAGGACTTATCAACTGTGCGTATTCACGAACCAGACTTTAGGTCTTGCGCGTAAACGCCTAACTTCTGGACCACGGAGGCGGTACCTAACAGTGTTAGATGTCTAACTTCAATCAGTCCACGATCTTGTGCATTCTCGTTTACTGTCTACGGTGAGCACTAGCCTCATGAGCAAGACCAAAGGTTCCAGGTTTGAATTCCTGCGAGCAGCGGCAGTTGTGGATGCCCACTGATGATGATTCCCATAGAAGAATAATCGTATTTTCCCAATTTCTTGTGCGTTGTGCTCTTACGAAACATATACTTATTCATGTGTCGTTTTATGGTAATCGAGCAGTGTTCCAGTCAATTCGTTATTTCTCTCTTGCTTGCCAACCTATCTCTATCCAGTGACAGGATATTGTTTTTTTTCTACACAAGGCCGTTTAGCCACAGCCGGACTCATGCACTACTAGTCTCAAGATTGTTAACTAGCTAGCCTATCATGTCTAAGTCTTTTATGTATGGATCGAGTCAGTCAGATGCAACGTCGAACATCGTACGTAAGTACATCAGTTCATGTTGCCATACCACATGAGCACAGAGATATAATTGTCAATTCAAATCCAATAGTAGAAGAGGTAGTAAAGGTATTAGAACTAGTCGGAGAGGTTAGGATTAGAAGATATTAGTCAAGAAGTATCATTCAGTGAGAACAGTATAGAAAGTCAAAAGTAGAGGTGTTGAAGAATCCAGAAGATTAGGATTTGAGAGGACACAGAGAGTGAATGTACCTGCTCCATAACAAACGGCCTTGAGCCATGTCATTCAAGGTCTCTAACCATCGATTATGATCATCTCGCGGACGCCAACCAGGTAGCATACATCTACTAACATGACTCAGTCCACTTATCAGTGACTTCATGTATTTCTGCCTTGTTTTGGTTTGGCCACCCCTAGCTTTCTTCCAACCTATTCCTACAGTACAAAACAAAGCTCGTCGAGGCATTCGGTGGTTAGGCATACGCAACACATGTCCGAACCACCTCAACTGATGAAGTTTCACTACTTTATCTATTGATTTGCCATCCCTACCTAGCACCCGTTTCCTAATAACGGCGTTGCTCATTCGGGTGTCCCAGGATATACGAGCAATGTTTCGAAGACACCTATGATCGAATACTAGTAACCTACGAATATCTTCTACTCTGACTGGCCATGTTTCACAGCCATAAAGTAAGTCGGAGCGAACTACTGCGCAGTACACTCGTCCTTTAGTCAGCAAACGTATATCTAGCCTACGCCATAAGTGACGCCAGTTGACAAAAGCCAATCGAGCCTTCTTTATCCGAGCTGAGATTTCGTCAGCTCGGATCGAAACAAAATTATTGCCTATTGATTAGTGGATAAAAAAAATTCACTGACGTTAAAAAAAAATAAACGTTGAATCAATCCCTACCTCGTCAGTTTGTGCACCGGGTAAATGAATTGAAACTGTCGGAGGTGTTGATACAGATTGATTTGGATCTAATGATTTTGAATGTTTCGATAATGGACCAGTCGATTGAATTGATGGAGAATCAGGACGTTTTCTATTTTGCAAACCAGTTGTTGTAGTTGTACTGGTTGTTGTTGTTGTAGGTCGTTCAGAATTTTGTGTACTGACAGATTCTTCACCACCGGATAAATCATCAGGATTATCAACTTCTGGTGAAATTGATAAATACATTAGAATATCTTCACATTCTCCATCTTCATCACTGAAAAATTGTTAGTAAAAATAAAAATAATAATAATAATCATATTCGAACGATAATATTTGTGTATAAATCATTGATAAATTAAAACAAACGTTTACATTGTAATATGGCATTTTTGTGTGTCAGTCAGTCAGCTACAACGCGGAACTTCGTACGTACGTACAACAGCACTACAGAGATCGAAATGTCAATTCAAATCCCATAGTGATAGAGATAGTAGAAGTATTAGCGGTAATCGGAGATCCTAGGGTTCGAAGATATTATTCAAGAAGTATAATTCAGTGAGATTAGGTTAGAAAGACAAAGGTAGGGCTGCTGATGAATCCAGAAGATTAGGATTTGAGAGAGCACAACGAATAAATGCACCGGCGCCATTGCAAACGATTTTGAGCCATGTCATTCAAGGTCTAAAACTACCGATTAATATTATCATCTCGCAGACCCTAACCAGGTAGTCGACACCTACCAACATGGCTCAGTTCACTTGTCAATGTGTGTGGAAAATAAGCCGAAAGAAAGTAAATAGCAGTGTTTTCTAAAGTGTCAATGCACATCGGAATAAGCCAGTACTTGCATTGAAAACATTTCACTGTGTCGCTGTTATTAGCACTATTTTAGGAAAAATCAGTTTGTCCTCATTAATTTGGAGATTGTTAAGAAAATTCTCCTTCAAAACTCATTAAAATACGTATCTAGTCGTTTTTACTGATCGAATCGCACACTGTGTGACGTTCGTCTAATTGTCTTTACGGGCTAGTTGAGGAGCAAAAAATTGTTTAATAGATAATTTCTCAGACTGTGAAACTGGATCATTGAAGTTTGAATCTTTCACAAACGATGTCAGTACTCTTAAGATTGAAGATTGATTGATTAGCCTGAAATTTAGTTCAAGTATTTAACTGATAAATACCACTAACCACTTAATATATACGAGTAATGTTTAAACAAACTCCACCTGGATCACTTCTAGGGTTACAACCAGTTTGATTGAGCTAGTGATCCCATCCCGTAGAAATCCAAAGCGCTAACAAGAAAAATAATTCACTGGTCAGCGACCTATGCTCCATTAGGGGAAACAAGTAAGTAAGTACATATACATACTTTCCTGCCAGTTTAGAAAATGAATACATTTCTTAACCGATAATGATGGACAGCTGTTCTTAAAAAGCATCTATCTAATTGTTGTCAAATGACCTTTTTGTCTGATCACTTATGATTGTGATATGCTTGAACTATTACGAGTTTACCTAGTCGGAAAAACGAGAGCGAGGATCCGGCGACACGACATGCTACTCAAATCCGATTATCCCAACCCCCCTATTCATTAAAAAATAAGGAGACTTGAATGTGAAGTAGAACCTGTATTCTACAAGCATCCAAAAATGTACGAGGTTCGAGTCCAGAAGAGAATCAGGGACCGGGTCATAGAACGTTACAGATAATGCGTATTTATACATTTCGGTCGAATAGGAAACAGCATCAAAGTCTGTGACATTGGCAGTTAAGGCGACCAATAGGAAACAACATTTGAAGTGACATTGATAGTCAGGACAACCAATAAGAAACAACATTGGAGCACGTGACATTGACAGTTAGGACGATCATAAAATTGACCAGTAGAAATTAACCAATAGGAATCGACCTGTGATTGTCTTAGGATATTGGATGAATATTCTAACAGATTGGCGGCGCTGTGTTATGCAACCTTTGAAAAATTCTCACATACATACTACATTTATGCCCACAAACCAATCTTCAAATGAAGCTCATTCATAATCATAACAACAACGCACAGGTAACATTTTCTAACTTTATTATGTGAGGTTGTGGATATTGTTGAGTTACTTATTGAAATCATGAATCAATCAATGTTAGACTACCCCATTAGAAGAAACTTGGAAGCACTGGATGGCAGTTCCCTCCTAGCATGAGACTCATCAATGGCAGTGCACATCCACGAAGCTCTTCGGTTCCAAACCTACAAGGTGCAAGAGTCGTGGATGCTTACTGCTCTCTAAAGCTTCCAGATTTATCATTTAAATTTACCTGCTTAATAAAGCTTGTACCGGTTCCATAGTTTCAATATCAATCTCAACATCCTCTTCTTCATCGTTATCTAAAAAAGTGAGTACAAGAATAAAAAAATTGTGAATTAAACAGCTCAATAATTTTGATTTGTTTTTCGCCTAAAGCGTATTGTGATTCAACACCAAAAATCGTTTATGCATAAAACTAATAACTTATAAGAAGAAGAAAAAACAGGAGAGAAAAGTTCATTCTGAATGTGTAAACTGTGTGTAAATAAGACAATGGAAGTGGTGTCCTTCTTTAAAGCATATAAAATGTAAAAAAAGTTAAATAGACTGATCGAGAAAGCAGACAACCCTGACAAACACCACTATTAGTGGGACATAAATGGAATTAAAGCATGACTGCGCTAGCTGCGCGCTGATTGGCTAATTTCCTATCCAATCAGCGCCCGATCGATTCTTGGAGAACAAGGTAGAAAATTCTTGTGTTGTTAGCTGCACTCTGATTGGCTAAATCTAATCCAGTCGATCACGTGAATTTCTAATTTAGAAGCTTCTCATGTAAATACTATAAAGAAACTAACGTTGTATCTATTTTGCCTTCGCCTTTGGCTTCTTATTTCCATTTAACCTCTTGCTATTTGGAATATAATCTTTTCTTGTTCCACCGTGTTTTTGATTCTTTGTATTGTGGTCAGAGAATAGGAATTAGCTGGTAATTATATTTAAGCAAGCGTTACAACAACCACTGAGTTATCAGCATTGATGATATTCCCAAGTGAAGCGGTCGACACGCTTGACCGATGCAAGCAAATCCTGAAGCAACATTTTGCATTTTTGTATTGCTGTTTAGAATAGTCAGAATACTGCCTTTTATTCAGCGTCGGCATATTCTAAGTCAACAAATAAATCTCCTGGTAGAAGGTCAACAACTCTCTTGAAAAGTAAAACGATGAAAGTGTCATCTCTAAAAGCACACACCAATGACAGGGTTAAATAAAAAAATTAGGAAGAAAGTGGATAGCTCTGACGAACACCACTTGAAGTAATCCATTTCGATAACAGTTTGTCATAAGCTTTGATTTAGCCAGTAGTGTGCGAGTAGAGAGAGAGAGAGCCTGTACAAGATTAGTGTACTTCTTTAGTAGGATTATGTAACTAAGATTAGAAACACAAAAAAGCATTTTTCATGTATAAACTTGAATAACAAAAGAATAAATATCGTATTAGAAAATAAAAGGAATTCAATGATTTCAGTGAATTCTATTTTAATTGAAGTGTTTCAGCACAGCACTCCTGTGGTGTGAGCTACTTATAAGTAGTATATGACGTGAGTGTCAACGTAATGTCTGATAGCAGAAGATGGGGGAAGATCAAGAAAGGAAGAGTTAAAATACAATGGAATTTGTATGAAACGTGTGAATAGTAGTGACAATGGATTGATGTTTTGCAACAGGAACAGTCCAGTTCTCTATGATGAACTGATATTTTGCAAATTAACAACGATTTACGATATGGTTTTCCAATTTTACTGAGTAACTTTGTAATTTTCGTTAAATACAATTCGGTTGCCCCACCTGTGTTCTCGTTCACTACACTTCCTGTTAACACATTAGATTTACAATAAAAATGAGTGAGAACATGATCATATATTTCCTTATTTTTTTCGAGAACTTGACAACAAAAATGGCATTCATGTAGCCAAATAGAAAGATTTTTTTATCGAAAGGACAAGTAGGATGGATTATTACTGGAATTTCAAACAGATTCAGTCCTAATCATCTGCAAAAAAGGGCTTTAGTTAGAATTCCTATTCAAATCATGTACGAAGAGGATTATGAGATGGTGAAGATTTGTAGCTCAGGTGGATGATTGTGGTGATGTTTTGGTTGTGAAGCTTTCATTGTTCTTCTGAACATTAGGGAATTTTTAGAAGCTTGGCACTCAAGACAATCAGCAATCAACAAACACATCGACATTGACCCAATTTATCAAACTAATCAGAAAAATCATAGGTGACATAGGATCAAGAAACAGACCAAAAGGAGGATGCAATCAAAACAACGACAGGTTAAAGGTCGACAGCAACCAATCAAGATCGAGGTTAGCAGAACAAGCTACAAGTCAAACGTGGAGGAATTCGAATGCTTCACTTCTGCTATCTGAAATTTGTGCTGATGGTGTTGTTGTTCAGCAGAAGAACAATCAAAGCTCCATAACCAAAACATCCAGCTCAGAGAACCAAACACCACCACCACGAAGATGATTAATGTGAGGATACAATTATTAAGGCTATAATTGAATAGTGCTCTTTTGTGAGAATAGTTGTCTAAATATGGTACAACTAACTTTATCTTACTGAATTATACTTCTCGTATCATATCTTTGAACCCTAATCTCTCCGATTACTTCTAAAACTTTGACTACCTATACTACAATGGTTTCAGACCTGGACGTGGTTGTATAGACCACATCTTCACACTACGACAGATCCTGGAACACAGACACATATTTAGACGTTCGACAATAGTTGTGTTCCTGGACCTAAAGGCGGCATTCGACTCAGTGGATCATGAGGTTCAGTGGCAGTGTCTGTCATTGAAAGGTGTACCAAAGAAGTACATTACCCTTATACAAGCACTCTACTCGAACACCACTGGTCGGGTGAGAGCTTATGGCGAACTGTCATCTGAATTCTCTACATCAAGTGGTGTCCGTCAGGGCTGTCCACTCTCTCCATACTTGTCTAACTTTGTCGTAGACATCCTCTCAGAGTTAACATTAAGCTCGTCAGATTTTTTTCAGGGGTTGACCTTCTACCAGGAAAATCGCTTACTGATCTAGAATATGCCAATGACATAGTTCTACTCGGTGAAGACGCTGACTAAATGCAGAGTCTTCTGACCACCCTAAGCAACAATACAAGCATGTTCGGGATGCGGTTTTCCCCCTCGAAATGCAAAATGTTTCTTCAAGATTGGGTTGCATCGGCACCTGAACTAGTAATAGGGAGTGAAGTAGTCGAGCGTGTTGACCGCTTCACTTATCTGGGGAGTCTCACCAGTGCCGATGGTCTGGTGACTGACGAAATCTCAGCTCGGATACAGAAAGCTTGATTCGCTTTTGTCAGTTTACGCCGTTTATGGCGTAGGCGTGATATCCGTTCGCTAACCAAAGGACGAATGTACTGAACAGTAGTTCGCTACGTCTTACTTTATGACTGTGAAACATGGCCGTTAAGAGTAGATGTTCGTAGATTGCTAGTATTCGATCATAGATGTCTTAGAAGCATTGCTCGTGTATCATGGGACAGCCGAGTAAGCAATGCTGTTGTTAAGAAACGAGTACTAGGTAAGGATGGCAGATCAATAGATGAAGTGGTGAAACTTCATCAGTTGAGGTGGTTGGGACTAAGAAATACATTACGCAGAGAAATGGAGACAGACAGACATGAGAAGAATGAACAACAATTGGACAGAACTCGTAGTTCCTTCCAATTGTAAGATGGAGGAATGCTGGTCAGCGGCCCATAATCAATTGGAGGTAACAAGCAAATGTGTGTGTGTATCATATTTCGTGATCTAAAGTAGTCTCATATTAGTTAATTTGCATAACTCAATTGTTAGCGCAATAAAAAACCTAACTTCATATATGCTCAATCCAAACTTGAAAGTTTGTTTTCATGAAATCAAGCTATTATTCGCATATCCAACTCTACTCTTTTTATCCAGGCTTTGAAGTTTACAGCATCATTAGAAGAGTTTCAAGCAGAGTTATGTAATCTAATTAACTCATGATGACAAATTTGTCAAGTGATGATGAATGTTTAATAAAGTTGACTAGATAATTATTGGTGCTTAAATAAACATGACATGTTTAATATTTGAGAATTCATCAAATTAATTAAAAACCTCAAATATTTTTTTATTCTAAAGTAAAAAAAAAAACGAAAAGTGTTTCACTGAAATTATGAATATTTTAATTTGAAATCATCAATCGATCGATCAGTGTTTTTAGACCGGCATTAGAAACCTGAAAACAATGGAGAAACGATTCGTCCTGTTATGGAACAACTCATTAGTGGCACTGTGCAGGCTAAACCCCAACTACCTGAAGCATTTGAACCCAGAACCTTCAGTTTTGAAGCTAACCGTTCGAGTACAAGACCGGAGGTACTGGGTTCGAATCCTGCTAGTTGCAAGAGTCATGGATGCGCACTGTTGATGAATAGTATCATACCAGGACGAACCGTCTCTCTAGTACTTTCAGGTTTTTAATACCAATCTAACAGTCAGTCAGTCAGTTGCAACGTACAACTTCGTATGTATATACATAAGTTCATATTGCCATACCACATTAGCACACAGACGCAAATGTCAAATCAAATCCCATAGTGATAGAGATAGTAGAGGTATTAATGGTAATGAAGAAGACTACGGTTCGAAGATATTATTCAAGAAGTATAATTCAGTGAGATAAGGTTAGAGAGACGAAGGTAGAGGTGTTGACGATTCCAGAAGATTAAGATTTGAGAGAGCACAACGAACGGATGCACTTGTGCCATTGCAAACGATTTTGAGCGATCCTGTTAAAGGTCTCTAACCATCGGTGACTTTCGTCTCGCGAACCCCAACCAGATAGCCTACATCTACCAACATGACTCAGTCCATTTGTCAGTGACTTCATGGATTTCTGCCATGTTTTGGTTTGGCCGCCCCTAACTTTCTTCCAACCTACTCTTATACCACAAAACATAGCTCGACGATGTAGTCGGTGGTTAGGCAACCGGTATAACATGGATCAATTGATGATTTCAATAAGTAACTTAACAATCTCCACAACTATATATTGCAAAATATTGTCTAGCTATGTTGTACTTTAATTTGTAAATTTAAGTTATTTAGACCAAATGTGAATACATTTCGAGTAGTAGTAGTAGTAGTGGTAGTAGTATCACACATTTTCAAGGTTATTTTAATAAGGAAATAATGAGAATGGTTATATTAGAAATTGTTTTTAACCAGTGAATGAGATTAGTGCAAATGACGTTAACTATCCATAGCATAAATAATATTTTCAAAAACGA